CCCCAAAACCCCAAAACCCCAAAACCCCAAAACCCCTTTTTAAGGCAAACATATTGAACAAAGTTGAACAATTAGAGATAGAGCCCATCAGGAATGTTCCCTTTCTTCTTGTACATGGTCTTCTCCTTGGCCTTTCGCATGTCAGACATGGATATCTTCATCCTTCTCTCACGCAGGGCTAATAGCCCTGCTTCAGTGCAGATGGCTTTGATGTCAGCCCCTGAAATGTCATCCTTGGACAGTACAAATTCTTCAAGGTCTACATCATCTGAAAGGGACATTTTAGAAGTGTGAATCTGGAAGATTCTCCTCTTTGTTGTTACATCTGGCAGTGGGAACTCAATCTTCCTATCAATCCTACCTGGCCTGATAAGTGCCGGGTCTAGAGTCTCAATTTTATTCGTAGCCATAATGACCTTTACATCCGATCTGGAGTCAAATCCATCGAGCTGGTTCAGTAACTCAAGCATGGTTCTTTGGATTTCTTTCTCTCCACCAGAATTAGAGTCATATCTCTTAGTACCAATAGCGTCAATTTCATCTATAAATACGATGGATGGAGCCATTTCTTCAGCTGCTTGGAAAATTTCTCTGACTAGTTTGGGTCCATCTCCCAAATATTTCTGGATAAGCTCTGATCCCACAACTCTTAGAAAGGTTGCAGAGGTCTGGTTAGCTACTGCTTTTGCTAACAAAGTTTTTCCTGTACCAGGTTCTCCGTACAAAATTACACCTTTTGGAGGCTTGATACCAATATCTTCATAAAATTCAGGATGAGTGAGAGGAAGTTCAACTGATTCTTTAATTTCTTGAATCTGTTTTTCAAGACCTCCAACGTCTGCGTAACTTTCTAGTGGAGCTTTGTCTACCTTCATCACACTCACCATTGGATCGACATCATCAGTCATAATTCCGACAACAGCGTAATTCTTGCTGTTGAGGAGAACAGAGCAGCCCGGCTCAAGTTGGTCCTTGTCAACAAAGGACATCATTGAGACATAGTATTCAGAACCTGCATGTGGGCTAACAATAGCATGGTTTTCATCTATGATTTCCTCTAACGAACCCACAATCATGGGTGTCCCCCTGATAAGGTCGACTACACTGCGTTCTTCCTCCTTTTTCTCGTTCTGTGGTTTGAGTCTTTCCTGATTCTTAATATATTCTTCCTCCATCAATAAATAATCCTTGATCCGTTCTTGCCTGAGAAGTCTTAGCCTACACTTCCCGCTTGGAGTAACTTTTGGCAGCTTAACTGCATCATAAACGCTCTTCTTCTTTTTCTTCCTGCCAATTTTTAATGGAGCCGCTTCTCTTCTTTTCTCTATAGCAGAAATTTAGCCTTTAATGAAGAAATTATTGAGAGAAACATCTAAAAAAGATAGGGCCAGTGGAGATGTGTGCTTACCGTCTTCAAGCCTCCTCTCCCTTTGTCGTTTCTTCTCTTCCTCGGTAGGCTGACGTCTGCCACCAGCACCTGGAAATCCTGCTTGGTTCCCCATATTTATATTATTTTAACAAACAATTTGGTTGATTTATAAAGGGGTTTTGGGGTTTTGGGGTTTTGGGGTTTTGGGG